ACAGGTATGATGTAAACATTATCATCTACCGTTATTATAAAAGTGACAGGTATGATGTAAACATTATCATCTATCATTATTATAAAAGTGACAGGTATGATGTAAACATCACATATCGTTATTATAAAAGTGACAGGTATGATGTAAACATTATCATCTATCGTTATTATAAAAGTGACAGGTATGATGTAAACATCACATATCATTATTATAAAAGTGACAAGTATGATGTAACATTATCATCTATCGTTATTATAAAAGTGACAGGTATGATGTAAACATTATCATCTATCGTTATTCTAAAAGTGACAGGTATGATGTAAACATTATTTTCTATCATTATCATAAAAGTGATTAATTTAGCTATCTTTCTTCTTTTTCCTATTATAATTGGTATGTTGTAAATAGATATAATTAATGATTATTGTTTAACTCTCAGAACTGGTGTCCTTCTGTGCACATGTCACGAGGTTTTAGCAAGTAACATTCAAAATATAATTAAACTGGTTTTTTACTATAGCATACAAATACTTGGTATAAACACTAATAATCCAAATTTTAACATTATATCAATTTTAAATTCTTAATTTTATAAGGCAATATTAAAGTAAAATCCTCAATTTGCTCTAGTGTGAGAATTGTGATATTTGCTCTCTTCTCTCCAAAAAGTATGAAATTTAATGTAAATTACTCATTATAATGTTGTCATCTCTCAAGCAAAGCATAATGTTTCATAGCCTTTGATCTTATTTGGTTACAGAGCTATAAAATATAGAATCAGAGCCATCTTGCCATGCCCACCTGTCATATCCTCTTTTTCTTTTTCAGAAATTGATAATAGTTTTCTCTGACGTTTAATGCTATATTATTTATAACCAACAAAAAGCCAAAGTTTTAATCTATTAAATTACTTATTATATCACATTGTTTTCTATATAGAGAATTGTCTATGTCACTTCCAGTTCACACTTTATTCCCACAGGAAACACATTGATTGGCTTAGCTGAATTTTTAATGGCTTTTGTCACATCATTAAAAAGCCAGAAAAACTGCAGTAGTTATAAAACAATGTTTATTTTTTGTGTAATATTGTTCTGGGTTCTTTGATGCATTATTTAATTTAAAAAAAAATTAAGTGCAGTAGTACCATTAGTATAAAAGAAAAACAAAGTAAGGTTAAATTGCATTGCCAGTGAGAGCAAAAAAAAGACCCAGTTAATTACTTTATTTCTTGTTTTTCTTCTGTATTCATTATTTATTATTATAAAAGTAATTAAAATGTAAAAATTAGAAACTTTTTAAGTTAGATTAGATAAAAAATATCAATAATAAAAATATTTAATGAAGTATGTTCAACAGCAGCTCGTGAGTAGTCTATAAATTATGTAATTTGATTGGGTAACATTAGCTCCATGTTTGCCATGTGATTTACAAATTTTATAGTTAAACATGGTTCAAATAAAACAATAAAATTTAAGTATAAATGGTTGTATAGTGTTATGAGATTTAAGCTAGTTAGGATAAACAAATGTAGTTTTATGTTATAATTTGAAGTCATTCTTGAAAAGAAAAAGAATAATTTAGATTTATTTCATATTTTTTTATGGTTGTTTACGAGTGTGGCCAAATTAACAAATCTTGTTTAGAGTGAGAGTTGAAAAAAATAACAGTTAAAATATAAAGATTTACTGAAAAAAATTTTTTTAAATTTATTTAGGAAGTTTTAGAGATTACACCAATGAAATTCTAAAGTTTCCAGATGAATAAAAGTATAAAAAGTATAAAACAATGTGTTAAGTTGAAATATAAACAAAACAATGTGTTAAGTTGAAATATAAACAAAACAATGTGTTAAGTTGAAATATAAACAAAACAATGTGTTAAGTTTAATTATTAACAAAAACAATGTGTTAAATTTAATTATAAACAAAAACAATGTGTTAAGTTTAATAATAAACAAAAACAATGTGTTAAGTTTAATAATAAACAAAAACAATGTGTTAAGTTTAATTATAAACAAAAACAATGTGTTAAGTTTAATTATAAACAAAAACAATGTGTTAAGTTTAAATATAAGCAAAAACAATGTCTTACAAAGTTTTACAACTCAGTACTTGTTTGGATTATTCATGAAATAAAAAATGCAGCTGAAGATGAAACTTTCTTCTTTTTTTTTAGTTGGTTCAAAGTCTCTTATGGAAGACGCCCCCTATAATAGGCATAGATTGGAAGCAGAAAGTAGCAGCTGATATGTTAGCTAGTCTTAGTGAATCTCGTCTTGCTCGTTCTATCTGTGCACAGTTCCAAGATCGATTGAAGGCTTCACATGAGCAGTTTGCAGCATCCCTTCGACAGCTGGAATCTATACACTCGGGACGACTTCAACGCACAGAAGAGCTACGGCTGAAGGTTTCTTCTGTTCTTTTGTAACAATAGCTTTATTAGAATGATTTTAGTATTTCTAAGAATAAGAGTTAACATTATGTTATATCAGCACAGTAGTTTATGCTTCCTAAACACAGACTTCATCATCTCTATTTATCCTTACACTAATTTAAAAATGATATCAATAACTTGGTAGAATGAGCACATTTTTTATCGCTCATTCTCTCACAGCTGATTATGACAAGAAAGAATCATTTTATTTTTTAAACCTTCTCCATTGGTTAGGAAAAAGTGATGGTAATGAAAATGATAATTGCATGCATGTATATAGATAACTAGTTATTCTGAAGTCTTTACATTAAAAGTTAATCTGTCACCTCATAATTTTATTTGTATTAATCAGTGATTCATTTTTGCTAATACATAAGAGAAAGTTTGTTAATACAAATGGTTCTATACAGGTTAGAAAACTGTATGCTCCCAAAATTGCAAAGTTTGCCTTAGAGTCTACTTCACTGAGAGACTTGGTTCTTTTTGGTAAGTTTGCTGTTAAAAATAATCATTTTGACTTTGAAAGAACTTAAATATGTAAGTCATAACCATCCTTACGATACTGGTATGTGCTGGTTCTGTGGCAATAAGAATTTTCAGAATAAATCTGTTTATCAGAATGATATGTGCTGGTTCTATAGTAGTAAGAATTTCAGAATAATTTTTTTTATCAGAATGATATGTGCTATTTCTGATTCTGTTCTGTACTGTGATAGAGAGAATTCCTAGAATAATTTTACATATGATACTGGTGTATGTTACTTATGTTATAATGAAATTTTACACATTAAGATTTTGCTATAACCTAATAATTGACAGTTATGACAGATGTGATGTATTTGGTTCTGTGGTAATATGAATATTCTTTATGATATTGATGTATCTGGTTCTGTGGTTGTAAGAATAATTCTCTTAATGATATTGATATATCTGGTTCTGTGGTAATATGAATGTTCTCCATGATATTGATATATCTGATTCTGTGGTAATATGAATAATTCTTTTAATGATATTGATATATCTGATTCTGTGGTAATATGAATAATTCTTTTAATGATATTAATATATCTGGTTCTATGGTAATATGAATAATTCTTTTAACCTGATGACTACC